CCCTGTTCTTTACTCTTATGAACTCAAGCAGATTTCCTCCCATAAAATTTAGAGCAAAAGGATCCAATAGATGTAATACTGGTACCTAAAACCCAGCACTACATTAATTCCAACTTTTCTAACATCTATAGTGTTATTCCTCAATTTTAAATTTACCTTGATGTCTACAATATCACCCTTCTTGTAGATTCGCATATATGTGGCCAAAGGAACAACTCCTGCAAAAAAATTTCAGTAGTCAGTCTCAAGACAAGTCTAAAATAAAAATATCATACTATTTTTGAAAATTTCTCCTGAAAGCAAAAAAACTAGTCTACTACAACCTTCTCTCCAAAGTTTTAATCCTGCATAGATATTTAGTTATGAAACTACATAAAATTCATACTTTTATCTATTACAAAATATGCCATATTTTAAAAATATGCTATTTATGAACCACAACAAATACTAACAAAAATCCAAATGTATAAGCTTGGCTTCGAGTAAACAAACTTACCATGTTTTCTAAAAGGCCTGGAGAACATATATCGGGTTCCTCTCCTCTTTCCCTTTGTGTTCGTCATTTTGGCAAATTACTAAAAGAAGAAAGCATAAAATTAGTCAGATTTTGAAAATTAGCATTTCCCCTTTACCAACAAAAATCCTATAATTTCAAATTAGGGAACAGTCTAAAGAAAATCAGATGAACAATCACTACTTTTTCCCAACAGTTTATAAAAACATTAAAAGGTCTTGTACCTCCCTTTATCTGTACAATCCATGCTAGAAGGAATGCCAAGAGCACTGGAAATTATTGTCTAAAGGATAATTTATTGGAGAACCCAATAAAACTCAACCATACATTTTTATACAGTAGATAAGATTCTTTTTCTCATCCCTCTTTTTAAAAACACTTTTATAATTAATTGAAGTAATGTTTACAGAGCACTAAGCAATTCTTAGAACAAGTACAGCATAACTGAACTGAAAGCTAATTTACCATCTAAAAATTCACCTATAAACATTCAGATTTGAACCTTTCCTGGGCTCCCTCAAGGGCCAAAACACATTTTTGATCACTGGGCCATCCAGGGCAATAACCCCTACCCACAAGGCCAATTATAAAGGAAGACTTAAATTTGTTGACAGCAGTCTAATAATATATCAGTCTCTTAATATACACTCTTTAATCCTAAACAACTGTCAAAGCACCTTTTTTTAATAAAAATTGTGTGGCAGAGCCAAAAGTGTCTCATCTAACTTGCCAAACTACTGTTTTAATAGATGCATCCTTCAATTTTTACAAAAAGGCAACTAAGCAATTGTTAATCAGTAAGTTCTTCTCCTCTAAACTCATTTTCCTGGCATCTATTTTATGCCTAGACCTAACACACACAAAACTGAACCAGTTTTCCAAAACGATACCTTACCCATGCAAACCAATGATGCCTGAAATCTACAATGGTATCAAATTTGCCAACTAGGATCGCTATGTGGGGTGAAGCCAGCAGTTTGTTAAGTAATTATTAAAATTCACCCCTAAACTCCTAAAACGGACATATTGCTGTTCTGGAATGCCTTCACTCAATACACATCTTCCCCTCTTGATATATGAGCACTGGTAAGGCAACCTTAACATATTCCCTTCATCCACTCGCAATCCCGAGCCAAAACTAAAAGCAATAGGCTATCAATTCACGCACAATCCAAGAGTGATCTGAGGCTCGTTAACCAGATTTTACTCGGCGGGCAGCCACTTCGTTATCCAACCACGAAGCCAGAAATTCAGACATTTAGGCTCACTGGAGATCAAATCCAAGACCTGTTTTAAACCCGTTCTTAAGACCCGGAAGTGCCTACCCGTCCACGTTACATTGAAAGGAATTAGAAAAGCATCAGGCCACGCGGCCCCGCACAGCCTACGAGGGCCCAGGACTCCGCGACCGAAGTCACAGAGATACGAGAGGCTGAATCCTTGCCAGATTAACTCACTTCGTCCCCAATGAGTCGGCTTCGTCTTCCTAACCGTAGCAGCTCAGAGCCACGGCACCGCAGGTCGGGTCCTCACCCCACTGCCCAGGCCCTAACACGGAGCATGCTGCTCCCGTTCTGGCAGGACACAGACCCAACCACCCAGGACAGTGGGCCCCAGATTGGGAAAACAGACTCTCTAGTATCCCAGTGCATTTCATCTGAGGCTGCAGAGTCACAATTCGAGGGTAAGGAACGCAGGGCCCCGGGAGCCACGCGCAGTCCCTACCTGAAAGATGGCGGTTCCGGCCGAAAAGAAGGAGGCGGTGTCGCTGCGCGCGCAACACAAGGGCCTGCGGGCTGCCCGCGGCGCTGCCTGAAGAAAAAGCCAGCCGACAGAGGCTCTTCTAGGGAAGCGAATTGGCCCTGAGAACAAGGAGACTATGTGGGAATATTTTCTCCTTACACAAACAAGAGGCATTCAGTTAACACAAGCTGACACTTGTGTCGCGTTAGGCAGCCCGGAAAGGGGCCTTCAAGGGCGTCAAACAAGTCGCGTCGTCCCGAGGGTGCGGACGTGCGTCGCCGCGTCACGCTTACGTCGGAAGGGAGCTGTGTGTCAGAATCTCCCGGGCTAGGCTGTGTCGAGATTAGCGGCGTCAGAACCTTATAAAGTGCTAGTAGTTAATGTTGGTTTGTTGCTGAAATGATTACGTGGACCCAAAACCCATTTTATAGTGAAGCAAAAATATTACCTGGGCGGGCGCGGTGGCGTACGGCTGTAATCCCAGCGTCTGGGGAGGCTGAGGCAGGAGGATCGTGAGTCCGATGACAACCTCAGCAATTTAGTGAGATCCTGTATCAAAAAAAAAAAAAAAAAAAAAAAAAAGAACTGGGGATGTAGCTTAATGGTAAACCGGCTCTGGGTCCAATCGTAGTACTTAAAAACAAAAAGCTACCTGGTTTATAAGTAAGTCTTTTTCTAGAGTTGTTACTCCCTCTACATGTCTGAACGCACCTGCTGGTAGGTTAGAACCACTCTGAAAGCAATTATGCAAAATCTGTTAAAATTGAAGATTTTACAATTCTAAACCCTAGAATTCTACTCTTAAGTGTATGACTTATAGAAATTTTGATAGGTGGACAAAAGTGTAGTAACTATAGTGTGGATAGAAGCGAGAAATGCAGAACATCTATCAAAGAATGAATACACTGGATCGCTAACAAGATGGAATGTTATATGCTAGTAAAAAAAGACTGAACTCTGAAACATGGTGAGGCAAAAGAGGAAGCTGTAGAAATAAATAGTATATCAACTTAATTTCAACAGTACTATATATTACTTAGGGTAATAAAAAATGCAAGGAAATGAAAATCAAGTTTAGAAAAGTGGTCATATAGGGAGGGAACTACCAAAGGAGGCTGTAACAGTTTTGACCATAAAGCTGGGTTTTGGGTCAATGGGTGATTACCGTTTTCTTAATTAAACCTTATTAAAGTATGTATTATCATATTCTTATGGTTGTTTTAGATATGTAACAAAAACCTGAAAATATAATCCAGAGAATTGCCATGTGCCCTGCATCCAGTTTCCCCTTTTAGTAATATCTGGCATTATTATAGTACATTTGTTGGAATTAATAAACCAGTACTGAACACTGTTTTTAACTGAAGTTCATAATTTATATTGTCTTAGGTTTTTAACCTTATATTCTCTTTTGTTTCTGTATAGTTATGTCTCCTTTAGTACCTTTGGCTGTGGAAGTTCCTCAGACTTTCCTCATTTTTAATGACTTAAGACAGTTTTGAGAACTACTGGCTAGTATTTTTATGGTATGCCCAATATTGGAATTTGCTGTTTTTCTCATGGTTTTATGTATGATGTTTAGGATGCATTTGTTAAAAAATGAGCCAAATAACATAAAAACCTTATCTGATTGAATATAAATAATATCCCATTGTTTTTGAAATTTTCATTTCTTTAACTCGTTCTCCTGATGCTTCTGAATTGTTTCTAAAAAAAAAACTGCATCAGCTCCAAACTTGTCCATCAAACTTTAAAAAAAAGTCATGAAATTATTGGTTTTGAACATCAAAATGTAGCTGGGGGATATAGCTCAGTGATAGAGCACATGTGAGGCCCTGGGGCCAATCTTTAGCACAGCCAAAAGAGAAAAAAAAGGCCAATTTCAGCAGTGTCATATGACTAAACCTAAAAATTAACATTATCATCTCTTTCCCATCTCCCATTCTGTTTTCTATTTAATTTGACTTTCCCTCCAGTCACTACAAAAACTGCTCTTATCAAAGCAACAACAGTCTCTGTGTTGCCCCTTACATTTCTTGTTCTTATCTGTCTTGATTGCTCAGAAACATTGGACTCTATTGAGCACTTCTTGCTTCTTGAAACACTGCCCTTTCTGACCTCTCTAGTCTATTTTTACTGTTTTTCCTTCTCTCTTTCCTTTTGTGTGTTGGAACTAAATCCCCTGCTCTTCTCTTTCTGCATTATCTTCCTAGGTAATTCTGTTTTCTCCCATAATTTAAAATTTCTTCTCTATGCTGCTTATTACCAAATTTATTTCTTTAATTTGGGCATCTCCTCAACACTTAAGTTTAGTGACATCTATTCTTGGATAACACTTATCATTTAAAAGTTAACATATCCAAAATAAAACTTCCTATTCCTACCCCAAGTCTGTTTTTGCTCCAATATTTTCCATGTCAGTAAAAGATATAAACTAGAAACCTTGTTTTCATTTTTAAATTGTCCCTTATCAACTCCAAATTGAATCCATCAGCAAGTTTTGTTCCAGTACCACCTGTAAAATATACCAGCAGTTGGCCTACCTCTTTGCATCTCTTGTCAATACCACCACTGGTATTTCATTCTGAACCACAGCAGTATGCATTTATGGTCACACTTTTCTCTCGTCCTAGTTTTAGTCATTTTCTATACAGACGCAATAGTCATATTTTAAAATGTATTTTAAAATAGTTTAAAGCCCTCCAAAGATTTTCTGTTGCCCTTACAATAAAAATATAAACTGCTTTCCTTGGTTTACACAATCCTTCATACACTGGTTCTTGCCTCTCCAGGTTCACATGGTATCTCCCACTTTCTGCCTCATGAATTGAAATACCCCTATATTCTTCAATTTCATAATCATTTCAAGCTCTTTCTAGCCTTGGGATCTTTATGCATTCTCTTCCCTTTGCCCTTCAAATAGATCTATCTCATTGCTTTGCTTCCTAAAAGAAGTGATGCCTATGAGATGAAAAATGAGTGGGAGTTAGATGAAAATTCAAACAATATTCCAAGTAGAAGCAACTTGGTATGCACAGGTAAGTTCAAGCAGTGTGGCATTGCTGGAAAAAAAACGATGAGAAGCTGGAAAAGTAGACTGTGAATAGTGTTGTTGAATCTTCCAGGATCCATGACAAGTTTTAACAAGACTTGATGATGATGGTAGAGGTGATAACTAATATTTACTTATTGTGTGCCTGTAAGTTTTTACAAATGTAAATCTCATTTAATCTTCACAACAATCCTACAAGGTAACTGGTGCCACCTGTTCCTATACTTTGGAAAGATTGTAAAAAGGATTGCTTTTCAGCTTTTTCCATTACT